TCCTTTTTCCCCTTTTTACCCCCCCCCCCCCCCCCCCCGCTATGATGCTACACCTGGACCACATGACAATGATGGTGCTGCTGTACCTGTACGTCATGCTGATGCATCATCCCACAGCTTAGCGAGACACCACTGCACGTGGCCTGCGTTGGGGGTTATGTCAAGGTGGTGGGGATGCTGTTGAAGCACGGTGCTGATGCTAAAGCCAAGCTCGACGTTAGTACAGTACCTCCTCTTTGCCCCCTTTACCCCCTATGATGCTACACATAATCATTATAATAGTGCTGATGCTGTACCTGTATCTAAAAGCTAAGGACATCGTCAGTACAGTACCACCCTCTTCCTCCCTCCCCTCTGGCTCTGCTGCTGCTGCTGCTGCTGGTCGCCTTTGTCCCGTTCCTATCTCTTCTACACCTTGCCTACCGTGCGCATCCGTTTTGCTCATCGCTCCTTGTCTTCTCTTCCGCTATCCCTTTTCCTCCCCCGTTCTCCGTCCGCTCCTTGTCGGTGCTCCTGCCCCCCGCTTTGTTCCGCTGTATCCTTAGCCCGCTTCCCTTTTCCGATGTTGTGACTTCAAACCGAGAAATACCCCATCCCTTGTCATCGCATCTTTGCCTCTCTAGCGCGCTCAAACCGTTTTCAGTGCCATTTCTTCAAATTCACCCCGACGCTCCACTCCGCCCCTTGAGAAAAATGCAAACAGGCCTCATGTTTCCGAACATTGATTATCCTATATAGAGCGGTCGAACGCCACTCCATGCAACCTGCAGGGTCGTCTCTGCTAGCCGAAAGGTTGCTCAGCAGCTCTTGAGTCACGGCGCCGACCCGGATGTGAGAGATCTTGTAAGCCTTTTAACCACGATGACGTACTTTGCTGCTCTTCTGCTACACCTGCGATTTATACGTGATGGGCTGCTGTGGCAGGCGGGTGCACGGCCCTTGGATTTGCACCTTCACAGGGATCCTATCCAGCTGCAGGTGGGCCTATTTTTATTTTCGGTAACAATTGCAGAGGAAAGCTTGCTTATGGATGAATCTGCTTCACTTTATAGCTCGTTGCAGATCTATTGCGCGCAACCCGTACCCCTTGCTCCTACCAAACTTCAAATGTCAATGGTGCGAACTTGATTTCCATGTCATCGTTCGCATTGTCTTGTTCTCATCGGATTTCAATGTGGCGCCAGTCCAAGGCTTGATTCATGCGGAGCAGGTCAGACGCTGGCGGTGCGCTGCTGCTGTTTTCTGTAGCGTCGGCTGGCGCGTGGATCCTCAATTGTTCAATATCCAAGATCTACAAACCCTTGGTGACCACGTGGCCGCTCTAACGTCCGCCGCTCAAGCTGCACCTACAAATTGAAATTTGTGAAGGTTGTGGTTGCTTTGTCGATCGCTATGCAAACAGAAAATAAAGTCAATGACCAGGGCGGGCTTTGCTGAACGTCTAAAGCAGAACAGTCCAACAACCACCGAAAAAGAGCGAAAAACAGCCCTGCCTTCATTCGCCATGACATCGACTGATGACCATGGTGTCTCAATATTGGCGGCTGCAGCGCTGCGCGAGCTGGTGATGTGGGCGGCTCGCCGGAGGGTAAGCGGAGTAACTGCGAGCACAAAAAAAAACAAGAAGCACAAGAAGCACCATCATCATGTATTGGACTGCAAGCTTAGACGCATGTCCAGAAGCTACTGTATCACTGGAAATCGCCAGTCCCGGCGATGATGCTCGATTATCCTTCAGGGCGAGGAAGTAAGTCGAACATTGTCGTCGTTGCTGCCATCGAGATATAAGTACGGTCCTGTAGACCAAGGGAGTGGCATTTTGAGCCTTC